CGAGCATATATGTGTACGCGCACACTCTATTATATATATATATATATATATATATAGAGTTACAATCAGCATATATTTATTTATCTGAACTTGTGTACTTGAGATCTCCGATCAAACCAACATGAAGCATCTACACATAATGCTATACGTAATACATAATTTATCGCCACTATAATAATCTAAGTAGGATACCTCATCTTGAATCTGACCCCGAACAATCAACTCGTGATTTCCAGTAGTTACACTCCTCGGTAGATAGAAAGCAGAAGCCGTGTACAAATCCTTCTTCCATTCATTCGCCGCACAGATCTGACCGTTATTTTTCTCAGGAGCATACCCTGTGTACATAGGCCCTAGGTCATTGTTCATAGTAGGCCGGCACAGTTGTGCGTATGCAGTGTGTAGATAAGCTGCAGCATATAGCGCTGCTGTGTGCACTCGCATGATTGTGTAGGAATATGCGTTGTGTGAAGGAAGGTATATATATTCCTATATTCAACACATACACGGCATATTTATGTAATGGAAATATGACTATATATATATATATATATACGTTCAGCTGTTGATGGGATGTCAACGTGTCACGGTCGCTTTGACATGACATTTGGATTGGGTGTTCAGTGTTCACAGCTCACAGCCTCACACTCGTCATCATAAACCCTAAACCCTAAACCCTAAACTCTAAATAATAGTAGTCACATTCAGACTACAGTTTACAGATTGTTTAGAAAAATCAATACAAATATGCACATACGTGTAGAACCGTTGAGCGACACTCCGAAATAACGACAATTCAGGTGTACACTTTACACTCCAAAACTGTTGTAAGTAATCGTTGACGTAAAACGTTGAAAAACAATAATAGTAAATAAAGCTCACTCGAGAAGTATAGTCAGAATCAAAATCTTGATGCGCGCTTCGTAGTAGAGCGCGCTCTACGTAAAATTAAACGTTTTTAATTTACGTTTTCAATTTATATATATATATAAAAACAAATTAAAAAAAGCGTAAACGGTTATAACTATTTTACAACGCAAAATCGGTTGATAGATAACTTTTTTAAACGTTTAACGAGAAACGATTTTGAGGTTGCCACTCCGAAATAACGATGACTAAGAATTCTCGTCATAGCGAGCCTATCGGAGCACGTGCGATACTTTGATAATTTTACTGCACACACTTTACAATAGTGTATCCCTGTATTTATATATATATTGTATATATATGTATATATGTATATAGACGTCCATCTAAAGTATAGCTGACTACAAAGCATTTATAACACACTTACGAAGCACTCCTACATAGTTTAAAAAAAATTACATCGTTGGTTATAAGCACCATGGGTTGTGTACAGAGAAAGAAACGTATTCATATGAACAACAAGGAATTGAGCAAAAAGTTCAGGTTGAGGCGTCGTACAAAAGACTTGGATCAAGTGGAAGAGGACTTGAAGCCAGAGAACGCGGAGAAATTGAAGAATTTGCCCATAGATTATGACCTGCCTGGGGCTGGTCAATTCTACTGCTTACAATGCTCGTAAGTTGACTACAAGTTGTGGGTTAGAATGATGTTCAACCGTGCATGATCACACAGCATCTGATAGAAACGGAAATAGACTTGCGCATATTTATATTTATTTGTAATAAGCATGGTTCACCCGCATGATACAAACTATTCGTCTGTACGCTATATATATATATATGTTTATATATCTATGTTTATATATATATATATATATATATATATATATATATATATATATATGTATGTGTGTGTGTGTGTAGTTATATATATATATGTGTGTGTGTACATACAGGTATATATATATATATACCGATACAAATATACCTTCTAACCCTCTCTCTCATATATATATTTAAATTTATATTTATATTTGTATATATGTGTGTGTATATTCATATTTGTATACATATACTCGTATATATATATATATATGTGTGTGTGTGTGTTCATGCATGTATGTATACATGTTATATAGTGTATAGGTATACATACACGCACACACACATATATACTTGAATGAGAGGTCAAAAGATATATATGAATGAGAAATCGAACGAATGTTCTGATGAAGATATAACGCGCAGTATCAAATTTTAAGTCTGGTTCGTGTGTTCAATTCGCATCTATGGATATCACATAAGTTTTGAGCGAGTGATCACTTTGCATATATATATATATATATATGTGTGTGTGTGTGTGTGTTTGCGTATGTATATATGTATATATAAATTGCGCATAATTAAATCTATATTATTGCCAATATACTAATATACATCTGCTTATCAAACTGAAATAGTCTGATTGAAATGGCATTGATCTCCATGTTCTGTTCTTGTAAATGTGCGCATGCTCATTTGTCACTGTGTGCTCATTTGCAACCTCTATTATTATGTATATATATTTGCATGTTTCTCTGCAAATATACTTCGTTGAACCTGAACACGGAGAGAGACTGGACCGTCTAGTTCTTTCGCGCTGGTATTTTAGAGTTAATTTCGGTCAACCAATAACTGCCAATACTTCATAAAGGGTATCTGGTGCTAATCTAACTCGATCGCTTTTTTGGAAAAAAAACAACAACAGTAAATACTATATCAGTGACGATGCTCTTGAGAAACACAGCAAGTCAAAGGTCCACAAAAGAAGGTGCGTTGCCGAATTTATATATTTGAACAATTTTATGAACTTGTATATATATATATATATGCAAATATTAGTCGTGCATATGTATGTTCACGTATAATACGTTCAAGTGATAGTCCAATCAAAACTCCTGTAGAACGATGCATACGTGTCTTCCCATATAAATATATAGCCGTGTCTATATGGACATACGCTGGCGGCTAGTGTTGATAAGGTCACATTCTTTATATACTTCCGTGACTAGATTTTTCTTAACGGTTATTAAACTCTCATGTGCAAAGAAATATTCACAATGTGCGTGTACAAGGATGCCTATACTCGAGCATTGTGAAACTTCATATACTTTGTCTGGTTGTCCCCGAAAACCCTAACTCCCGTGGTATGGACTTTAAACTTAATCGCAATTAGGAATGGTGGTTTACATATTTAGGGAGAGCTTAAAAAGGGCTCATGCACAAATGTCGGAGCGTCTCTATACTTCATTGTGCCTATTCAGAGATACTTCATTATACTAGTTATCTACATGTTCAAACCGATCAATACACTCGAGCAAGCGTATGCCCATTCACTTAATATTGTAATGATTCAGCATATTTCTATTTTATCTGCCGATATTGATCAACATAATTCTAATTATTTGCCGATATTGGTCTACCATACTTCCCTTTATTTGCCTATATTGATCTACCATACTTCCAATTACCTGTCTAAATTGAATCTACCTTGATTTTAATTATTTGCCGATATTGATCTACCATAATCCCAATTATCGCCATCTAAAATATACGTATAGTACTGACACGCTCCTGAATTCTAACTATCTGCAGATTAAAAGAGCTCAAGGAGGGTGCGTACACTCAAGAGGAGGCTGAGAGAGCAGGAGGTAGAAGCGGCATTGAAAATAAGAGACCTTCCACCATGGCCACCTAATTGGCACCTGGAAAGATATAATAACTATGATATGTATACTTGGATTTGGGTTGGGAGGCAATTGAGGTCTGTAATCTGTTAGAAAATAAATTTAAATAATAATTTCGTAAACAGAACGAGCTAATATATGTATATATATATTTGAATTTGGGTTTCGGGCTTAAGCAATTGTAAGATGGGTTGGGAATCTGACGAGCTTTTACTAAATGAATGCTCGATAATGTAACAGCAAAGATAGATATGCATTAAATATATAAAAATAGAATACATACTAAAAAACTGATAAATGCTGCCGAAGTTGGGCAGGTATGCATTTTGACCTTAGAATTAGCGCCAACCTACCTACCACCTCCATCCCCACAGAAATCAAACCCCAAACCACAAGAGTTCACTGTAGTGTTTATTTTGGAATATATTTCCATGCATAACCCTAATTGACCAGCAGAATCAGGTCAACACTCAAATGTTTCCGGCAGATATTCTTCCACAAGATACCCCAGTATAAAGCACTCTACCACCCAATCCAGATGGCGCACAGGAAGCTGATCGAATATTGGACGAGAAGTAAAGTAGTCGTTTAACACCTGTGAATAGCCCATGACAACACACACATCTCTTTAAGATTATTATCTGAATCTCCTAAAAACAAAACAAAAACAAAAAATTAAACTCGGGCCAAATCTCTGTTTTTTGCCAGCCTACAAAACGTGGATCATATCCTGTTAGACATTCAATATACACATACGAAAATTTAAAAGTCTATCACATATGTCAGGGACAGATACAGTTTCACAGATAGTCTGATAGGATTAACACACGAGCTCATATGTCATCGTACTAAACCTACCCCTTCCGTACAGAACGTTATTTCTTCCTCACA